ACCAGACACCCATTTACAGAGGATACATACATTAATAAGAATACGACCATATCAATAATGACTCGCCGTAACGATCCAGGAAAAGTAGAAACATACAGACGAAGACGATACAACAAAGTAATCACCGAATCTGAAGTATAATCAACCAAAAGGAGATGCGATTCAAGCCGCTTGCCGGAAACAGAGATCTCAACTCTAATCAAAAGCATGACGAGAGGAATTAGAGTCTTCGCTCAGATTAGATTGAGTTTTAAAAGTAGGAGGAGATAAGATTTGCCGCTCATATTTGAATTTCAATTGCGGTACAAATCGAAGAGAAAATTAAGTTTTTGGAACGATTGCGTTACTAACTTGCAGGCAATGTCCTACTGGAGTGAATGTGATGGCGTTACTCAGCTCAGATTTGAATCTTCCAACTCTTGCAGGCGATGTTGGTACTTCAGCCATCGAAGAGAGAACAGAAAGAGATGGTTTGAGGTGATGTCGCGATGGGTTTCCCAAACACAGTGAACAAAATGCGAATGGGCTTTTATACCAAAAAGAAGGAGATGGGTTCCATTAAAAGAAACAGTACGGTGGGAGAAAATATGACCAATTATATTTGGTCGGGAAAAATATTTTATTATTTTATGACCAAAATTTTTAGTTATGTAAAGTTTGTTTTGGTCATAAAAATTCTTTTCTTATAAGTGACCATTTTAATATGTTTATGCGACCTAAAGTACTAGTTACTTTAAAAAGTATTAACGATGATAACAAAATTGTTTTGGTTATAAAAAGAATTGAACATTCGGCTACTAATATTTTTGGTCGTATAAATTTTAATTTGGTTATAAAAACTATTTTTCTAGTTAGTACCCAATTCATCAAATGTTTTATTACCAAAATATAATTGGTCATAAATAATTAATTTTCGCCGACCAAAAAAAATAGTTAAATGAAAATGGTCACAAAAGGCTATATTTGTTGTAGTGCCGGCATAAACCGGTTGTACCGTTGGTAGAACCATTACACTTGGTAAATCGGTGCAACGATATAAACCGGTTTGACAACCTTGATACAAAGGCTCTTCTACATTTCCTATGTTTTTGCACAATTTTGAATGGCCAAAAAAGGAAACCTGAAAAAAATCCCAAAGTACATGTAACATCCCAAACTTTTTCCCGACAAGATACGGTCCGCTTTGGGCCTCTACACCCGCACGGTTTTCGACTTGGGGTGCAATTCAGGGTGACTTCCCATAAGGTCACACATCATTGTTGTACTCCACACTGAGCACGTTTAACTTCTGAGTTCTCACAAGAACTCTTCCATTACACCCCAAGACGCGTCTTGTCAGTTAAGGTCAGTTTCCTACTTACGAACCTTTTCCTGACAAAATACGGTCCGTTTTGGGCCTCTACACCCGCACGGTTTTCGACTTGGGGTGTAATTCAGGGTGACTTCCCATAAGGTCACCCATCCTTGTTGTACTCCACACTGAGCACGTTTAACTTCTGAGTTCTCACAAGAACTCTTCCATTACACCCCAAGACGCGTCTTGTTAGTTAAGGTCAGTTTCCTACTTATGAACCATGGATCTCTCCCGTGCTTTGTCGATGTGGGATTTGCCTAAGGTGTTACATACAACCCCCCTTGGGACTCAACGCCCTCGTTGACGTTTGCCCCACCATCGTTCAAGAGGGACGCGGAGAGGCTCTGATACCACTTGTAACATCCCGAACCTTTTCCCGACAAGATACTGTCCGCTTTGGGCCTCTACACCCGCACGGTTTTCGACTTGGGGTGCAATTCAGGGTGACTTCCCATAAGGTCACCCATCCTTGTTGTACTCCACAAGGAGCACGTTTAACTTCGGAGTTCTCACAAGAACTCTTCCATTACATCCCAAGACGCGTCTTGTCAGTTAAGGTTAGTTTCCTACTTATGAACCATGGATCTCTCCCGTGCAAGAATGATGCAGAGGGCTGTACGTGGCAACTGCGAGCTGCAAATATGAAGAGAAAGGGTGCATGGGTGATTCGAAAAGCTGAGACCAACCACACTTGCTCCTCGTCCATACGTTCCCAGGATCACAGGAAACTTAAAGCAAAGAAAATTGGGAGAACTATTAAACACCTTATCGAAGCACAACTAGATATAAAGGTCAAAGCTATAATGGCTGAGGTGAAGGATCGACATTCTTACACGATAAGGTACAAAAAAGCATGGCATGGAAAGCAGAAAGCCATGGCTGAGGTGTATGGTGATTGGGAGGATTTGTATGCTTTACTGCCTAGACTTATGGCCGCAATGGAGGAGTCCAACCCTGGGACTGTTTTCGTGCCAGTATACAACAATGGATACACTGAGGATCAAGTTCGAGTACAGGAGAAGTTGATGTTTCACCGTCTTTTTTGGGCTTTCAAACCATGCATTGACGGGTTGCGTTCTGCATACCGGTTATTCAGGTATTTTAATACATGTTTACTATTTGAAATGTTTGTATTCTTTTAGACCAAGTAACCTACTGTAACCTATACTCATTAAAAATTTGCACTTAGTGACCATTTACATTGAAAAACCCTTAAATTGTTAAAATATGATAAAGCATGATTACCTGGTTCCACCAAGGCTTATCTAACTCAGAACGATAAAATAGTAAAGAGTGCTCAGGTTGATGGTCATTTGTATTTTCTCCTATCCACCTTGTAAGTAAAATAACATAATAAATTTAATTGAAATATAGCTAAGCATGGAATAAATATAAATAAGGCTAAGTACGAACTAAATTTAATTGAAATATAGTTAAGCATGAAATAAATTTAAATTAGGCTAAGTACGGAATAAACTTAATTGAAATATAGTTAAGCATGAAATAAATTTAAATTAGGCTAAGTATGGAATAAACTTAATTGAAATATAGTTAAACATAGAATAAATTTAAATTGGGCTAAGTTCGGAATAAACTTACTTGACACCGTAGGGGGGATTTTGCACAAAGTGTAGCTCATCATCTGCTCTCCGATATGGACGTGGGTCTTCAAGTGCGAACATTGGAAGATGCTCCCATACCCAGAGCTGGAGGATGAACATCGCAGCACCAGCTTGTTTCGCTCCCAACTTCGAGCAAGTACACAGCTCCCGGTATATGCCAGCTAAGACGGCCGATCCCCAACTCTTTTCCCCTATTACGTCCAAATCACCTAGGAGCAATGGCAAACATATGCCTTGATCCACCGGTTTGACTTGTCGGGGAACAGAAACCCACCGACCAAACCAACGAGGTAGATGCGTGCATAGCGCTCCACTTGATCTTCCGGTGTCTCGTTGTCGATGGCCACCTCATTTTCGATGTGAGTAACGAGCCACGGGACTGACACTTGTCCCGCATTCAATGATGGATGCCCCCGTCCTTGAATTGGTGTGGTGGTCGGCATGTCAAAGCCCAAACGATCACGAATGAGCGACCCCCAACCTCCTTCGGGTTTGGTAGTGCCCCCATCCTCCTCCGGAAGGTAGAACGTATGGGTTTCGGGGCGCCATCGCTCCGCCATTGCCGTAAGCAGATCGTTGATGATTTCGATCCGCATGAAATGCCTTAGCATACCCAACCCGATCCTCTCTATATAGGGCGCCAACCGATCATGCCAAGCGGGGAAGTTTGTGGTCCCTTTATGAACGACAGGAATAAGTGATTCCTACAAAAAAATAGGAAAAACATCCATTTGTTAGTTTAAAAAAAGCAAAATAATACCTTATAAAATAAAAAAAATAAAATAAGATAAATCATGAATTTACCGGATTGTTATCCCAAATAGCACGGGAGCGATGTGCTTGTTGATCGGCTAAATACCCCGTGTCTCTTGGGCCATAATGAAAATACAATCGAGGATCGTATATCTCGGCACCCATCTATAAAAAAGTAATGAAATCAGATTATTTTGATAAAAAAATCACAAAATCAAATTGTTTCGATTGAAAAAAATCACAAAAAAAACCAAAAACCTACACGAAGAGCCTCTTCCTCCATTTTTTTGGCGGAAGCCGGACAGAGGTTTGACGGGTTTGTAAGGGACGGGAGCTTAGCGGGACAGGGGCTTTAGGGTCAAACTCTAGTAATTCTTTCTGATGTGGAAGATCGGACTTAGCCGCAAACACAGAGCATACTTAGAACGAGACTAGAGCGGATAGATTGAGGGAGAAAGAATTGTAAATGGTGATTTGGAGGGGGGGGGGGGGGGGGGGGGGGGGGGGGGGGGGGGGTGTTTCTATTTATAGGGAATGATGGGAGGGATCTGCGAAAATTAATGGGGAGCATTCATCGCGTCCCTCAAAGACGGTGAATGCATCGCGTTTTTCAAAAACGGTGCAGATGCGGATCGAGCGACGTGGCGTGCTGTGAGGCGTCGGATCTTGGAAGAAAACCACAATCCGCGCCTCACCGCATCCAACGGCCACGGTGAGTGGGTCAGCGACGCGGATCGCTGACGCAAACAAACACGGGGTATTCACCGTGTTTGTCTAACACGATGAATACACCGCGTTTGTCCACGTCAGCATCCTCCTCGCTTGATCGTGGCCAATCGAGACGGTTTAGTTTTCACCGCGTTTTATTAAAACGGTGATGATTTCACCGTCTGCGTCTGAAACGGTGATTGGCTCGCTCGTTGTTCACTGTTTTAGAGGAAGACGGTGATACGTCACCGTTTTTTTTTTTAACGGTGAAATCTTCACTGTGTTTGTCAAACGCGGTGATAGTCTTCACTGCGTTTGTCAAAAACGGTGAATGCCAAACATGTGTATTTTGAGAAATTTTTTATAACTTAGGTATTTTATAATTTTTTTTTTTAAACTAGTTTACGTGTAGGATTTTTTCCAGGAAACCTCGGCGAGCAGTTTGTGTCATTGCTACGACACGTTTAGAGAGAAACCATGTTATGAAAAGAAACGAGCAACAGAAGCTAAAGTAGGTATATCTCATATATGCTGTCTCCTAATTCCTAAACCTTATCTAGAATCAAAAGGAAACAAATTTATTTACAGAAATGAAGGGAAAAAGCTAAAAGCCTCTACTTTTAGATACATCTCTTGACCATTGCTGCCCGCCATAAAGCTGTCCTCCATTAGATTGTTGCTGCTGCTGATACACACCATGAGGCCCCAAATCTGGAGCAGCCAACCCACCACCGTGTTGTTGCTGGGGCCACCATTGCGGCGGCACTGCACCAGTATGTTGATGAACAATAGGGTTCATCACTTGAACAACTGGCTGCTGAACCATATTGCCACCGCGTACCGCCGCCGGCTGACGATGCCCAGCCACATGAAGCTGGGCATCATCAGGCCGCCACTCTGGCATATCATCGTCGTCTTTCCATGTTTGTACGGGAACCCTACTATCTGCCCAGTTTTTCAGGGGAGAAGAACCCACACCGGGCTGTCCATATCTATGTACAAGATCTCTCATTTGATCTACAACAGGACCGCGAGGGGAGTTCGATGGCTGAAAACTCCGACCACCAGGGAAACCCGGCGGCCTATTTGCTGCATTACTACTGAAATTGAACTCAGGCAAGTCATCCTCGTCCCGGGATGATCCTCCAGTCACCGTTGACGGAGGACCAAACCCAGGTGGCACATCATCAACATCAACACTAATTGGTGGAGGCCTAGAATGGAGGTGTTGTGGAGGGGGAGGAAGAGCAGAGTGGTGTTTTGGGTTGCGATTTTTCGACGATGAGTGCTGCTTTTTCGATGAGTCTTTGGTACTATGCTTATGGTGGGGTGATATTATTTGAGGTTTTCTCCATACAACAACACCAATTAGGCCATTCTCAATACGATTTAGGGCGTGCATTTGGTCCTGCGGGAGGACCTTGCTCAGCAGGCCGCATATCCTTGAGTGAGGTGGGCATAAGTAGAGCTCAACTCCAGAAGCTGGCTCCGCGAAACCTACTCTTTCGTCTACTACATAAGACTCTGCGACCTGGGTATCAACAACCATAACTCATCAACACAGACTCCGAAAACATTAATAAGTAAGTTCATCGAGTTACAGCTTGCACCCTTGTCTGGTAACTTACCTCGACAACGTCTGCTTTGTCACTTTCAGTCGATCCTTCCCTGCACACAAAGTGAACCGCCTGCACAGAGAAAGTCGACAAATCCAATCAGGTAAATCAAATGGGCTGGAGAGGGGGCTGGTTTCAAGTTGAATCTATGTTTCCTATTGACATAGCTACGAGGAATTTATCTAACCGCTGTTCACCGAGAACATATCACAACAATTATGGTTGGTTGGTCAGCCGTCACGAAAGAGAATAAAATCGTCACAAAAGAGAATATTATAATCCTAGCTAGACGACTAATTGCTTCAGCACTAGTTTTGCTTTTACAAAACAACGCAAACAAATGTTCCTGGAGATTTCTGAGAGGGTGGAAATAAAAGGGTATCGAGCGATTCCAACTTCCATCAATCCACGAATTCATCATACAAATAGTTCTCATCAACAACTCGATGAGATGGAAATTTTGCATGATCGATGGAAATGCTCGACCCTTTCTCTGTACCCAGGCTGGAACAATAGGACACAAAGCCCTCTTTCCCTCTTGCTGCTGATGTATGGAATTTAACTGAAATTCACTACAAATTAAAGAAACAGGGGATGATACCATAACAGCACGAGTCCTGGACATTGGGAGCTCTTTCAGGAACTTCTCAAATGCTTCAAGCTTCACTCGGCCCTTTATCTCGATAGAGTTAGGCCAATCTTTCGATGGTGTTTTCTCCCCACTGCCAACAGCGAAAGATTCAGCAAGTATTGGCATTAGACATGATGCTACAACTCAATCAATCATAACGGAGAGCAACAAGAATCTAGACCTACACTTCTGTTGATGACATATACTAGAAACTAACATATAGAAATGTTAGATTTAGTGCTTACCTTTTAAAGATGCCTACGAATGACACCATAACTGAAACATTGAGCTGCACTGAGCCCTCCCAGACACGTTCGCCTTTAATCACAGCATCAAGAGTAGGACGTGGGGCAGCATCTGATTTCACAAGATCATCCTTGCTGGGTTCCTCAGCAGCATCCGAACTCACATTTTCCAGATCATTTCTGGCCTTATAAGGAGAACTGACCGCAGGATCTTTTGGAGTGGCAACAGGAGACTTGGTCTCCGAGCCAATCTGTGAATCATCATCCTTTTCTGGGGTTGTTTGCTTTCCAGCATCCCCTGGCAAGCGTTGGAATTGAGGCTCTGCGTCGAGTGATTCCATGAACTCATCAAGGGAAACAATTGGAGGAAGAAATGTGGCATCTTTGAGCTCATCATCCACCACAAGCCCTGGCATAAAATCAGATCCTTCAGTAGTAGAAGGAATAGTGCGAGTGTAAGAAGCATCCTGGCCCTGTCTGTTTATTTCTCTGTCATTTGTTTTCTCGCCCTTCGATGGAGGAGATGATTCTTTTTCATTCAATTTGGCTTGTTGCTGCGGCTGACTGAGGAAATTTGTCCCAACAGCATCCTCCGCTGAGACGACATCCCTATCATGTTCATCCTCAACTTGGAACTCACCTTTATGTGTTTTCCTCACAAGCTTTCTGATATCAACATCTGAGTCTGGTAAAACAACCATCTGGGCAAGCTCTTCTGCTTTTGCCATACGCCATTCAGCAAGCTCCTTCGAAGCAAGTTCCTCAGCAGTCATGGAGCATAACCTCTCTGGGGAGATTTCACCACACATGACTCTTTCTCTCAATTCTGGGTTGTTACGATCCTTCAAGTTGAACAAAAGAGACCTGCCTTTCTCTTTGTACTTTTTATTCACTCCTCCAAACAACTTGAAGAGTTCACCTTCGATCTTAGATGCCAAAATTTCAGGGTTCTGGACCAGCTTAGAACCACCATCTTGATCTGGCGGGTTTGGACCAATGCTGCTTTCATCTATCAACTCCATTTCGGAATCTAGTACCCACGAGAGTCCATTACCCTGAAGAAGGTCATCTTTCACAAAAAAGTTGTCACTAAATGGAATATCATCAATGCTAAACGCATTCCCTGGTAGCTGTTCCTGCATACCAGTCTGTGAGTTCTGTACTAAGTCAACCTCTTGCTTTGTGTTGTGAATGTTGCCGTTCTCTGGAAAAGAAACCTTTGTTTCTGAAGATATATTGGTACAGTTAGAACTGGATGGCAGTTCTGGCGACAAACGTATGGCTCGACTCTTGTCTTTTCCACCATCAAGTGCCTTATCTTGCACCAGAGCAAGTGCAGCAGTTAATGATTCTCTCAACTTGGACCTAACAGAATCAACTGAATCACTCTTTACTTTCGGGGGTGGTTTCATCTGACCAGATTGACTTCTCTGCACAGATGTTGTACTCTGTGTCCCAGTTTTAGTAGGTGCAGTCTTTCTAGGAGGCCCTTGCAGTTGCTGGGATGACGGGGTGTAAGAAGTAGACTGCATCTGAACAGGTGGTTTATTTGTTATAGGCATTATCGGCTGAATCCATGGCCTATGTTCATTCAGAGTAAACCGCTTGGGAGCTGTAAATCTCTGGGGCACAGGGTTCTGAGATACAGCAGCTCCCATTGGTGCCTTTCTCTTGTTCGATGTTGCTAACTGCTGTGGTTCCATATCCTGCAACATGGACCCCATGGCACTGGGCTTCTTATCAGTTATATGGAAGTTCCCAGATGTCATATTATAGGAAAATGGATCGATCTGTTTAGTCTCTTGTTTGCTGTTGCTGACTACTGTGGTTCCATATCCTGTAGAGATTGATGTCTGCTGCGAAGCTGCATATGGATCAAGCTGTTTAACCTCTTGTTTGGCGTTGCTAACTACAGTAGTTCCGATTCCTGTAGAAACTAATGTCTGCTGTGAAGCTGCATCACTGGGACATGAGCCTACCATTCCCATTTGTATGCTGGGAATAGATACTTGTTGCATTGAAGAGTCATGTAAGGAAGCGCCTGATCCAAAACCCATCTGATTTGAAGGGCTCAACTTGTCTGAAATGTGATCTAGCTGATGGCTCATTTGGATGCTCCTGATTGGTAGCAGTTGTGAAACAAAATCATTTGACATGCCAACCCAGAAACAGAAAAACAACTGCAGCGCACCTGAAATGTAGAATAAAAATCAATAACCAGCTATACCAATCCAGTAATGAGATGGCAAATGCATACATCAAGCTACACGTTGGAAGAAATCAAGACAATAGCCACTCGCCCACATCGTAACCGTAAGGAAATCTGAGGCCATCATAGGCATATAAGCAAAACAGGAAAAGCCTGTCAACCTAAAAGCAAATTCCTTCGACAAATATGAACCGTAGCCACACTATAGATAGACGGTCACTTTTACTGACTGCACAGTAGTTGGTGTTTTTTACCAGTATCCCTCAAAAGAATCTCGACTCAAATCGACCATCATCTCATATTTTCTTTTCATGACTAGCTACTAAAAGAAGGCCAATTCTCGTTATTATTCAGCATACCATAACCATTAAAACCGTTTCTCTTAAAATTGTTGTCTCTTTCAAGCATAATTCTTTCAAGAAGTCTATCTCCGCTCCGGGCACAACAGAGGGCATTTAGAATTAGTCCAGACACTTGCGTTGACTTCAAATGATAGAAACCAATCAAAGGCAGTATTGTTGTTATATAGCCAGCAGCTTAAGCTTGCTGGGGCGCTGTGAGAGTTGCAATCTTCCCAAAGACCTATTATAGCTTCGATAGCAGCGATTATTGATTCCTACAGCGTTCAATAATCCTTCAAACTGAAGGTTCATCGCAATTTACGAAGACAAAAGAATGCTCCGGAAATGCACCTTCATATACATATTCACAATTAAAAACCATGCCTATGCTGTACAGATTCCAACTAGGTGAATACTATAATATGGTACTCTTGCATCAATACAATCTTGAGCTTTTAGTATGAAGAATCAGCTGTCAGAACTTCAACGATAGAGTGCCTTCACTTTTCATCACAATGCTGTTACCACCGAGTCAAACAATTTCTCCACAGTTTAAAGGGCTGACCTGACTGGGACAAATACACACTTGCACGCACAATGCACACCAATGTCATTTTCCAAACAAACAACAGAACGCAATAATCGTTACAAGTCCGAGCGTGCAAGGCATTACTGAAAGACAATGACGGAAGCAGATGAAGATTGATCAGCAAACACCAATAACTTAATCTGATGCAAGCACAATACGTGGCAGCCCTAGCAATACTAGTGCAGAATATTCATCTAGCACAGCGGACAACCAAGATTTCACACAACAGAGGACTCCAACACGGTTGACTGAATATTAAATGACCTGTCGAATTAACAGCATAAACATAATCAAACCCATTAAGGTTTTGGTGAGCAATGTAAGGAATGGCGAAATTCATTTGACAGATCACCTAACTTGCACCAGAATCAGCCAAGCCCTGGATAATCCACCCCAAAGTTATAGCATCAGATCAGAAACAGAATTCCCAACATGCAAACAAACATTGGAAAACCAGTCTCTGAAGTAACAGAATTCCCAATTTCAAAGATACAAAAGCTATCAAGGAGATACACCCCAAAGTTATAGCATCAGAAAGAGATTCAACACTACTGCATATTGGCAAGTATCATCCATAGAAAATAACAAAGTTTCACTAGAGACCCATCTTAGTCATTGCCCATTGGTACATCCCAGGACCCACTAAGACCAATCGAGAAACAAAGCAAAACCAATATAAGGAAAAATGGCTCAAACGAAGATCTAATTTCTCCCACAGCCTGACAGGAACAGTGCAAGCAAGTAACACACAAAGAAAAATCGAAAGACACCGTAACAATTAACACCCCCGAATCGCCGAAAACCCTATTCAAGAAGATGGGCAGCAACGAAGGAGTTAAAGCGCACTAGAAACAGCTCCGGCACTGAACAAATCGCGAGTTTTTCAGGAAGAAGAGAGGAAGGGAGTTTCTTTTTAACCTGATCGGAGCTGCGAATCGACGTCCGGGGAAGTGCTGGGAGAAGAGAGTGAGGAGAACGAAGATGGATGGATGGAATGACTAAGAAGATGAGTCTGTGGTCATGCCATAACCATGTACCGATTACAAACCCTATAAACCTAATCCACAGCGCGTGAGGTAGCGGCGCGGGATGACGAGGTTCGGAGGCTATATAATCCGTTTTCGCTCTCTATTAGGTCGTTTCGATCGAGGTTTTTTTTTTTTTTTTTACAAGAGATAATCATAGATTGATCGAAGCAAAACGATAGTTACATCCTGGAAGCCAGCCAGGTCTGGAAATCAAAATACCGACACGTAGTTGGGAACAAAGAAAGGGCCTTTCTAGCTACCAAATGAGCTACCCTATTGTCACCCCGACCTACAAATCGCACAGTAAAGCCCGGATTTTCCCTGAAGAGCTGAATCATTTCCTCCAGAATCGCCCCTACCCGACTGTCACGCATATCAGCCCTACAGATCTTATCAATGACCACCTTGGCATCCCCTTCAAACCGCATGACCAGGAACCCGTGCATTAAACACCAACGGACAGCTTCCCTAAGCGTAAGAAGCTCCACCACCATTGGATCCTCCAGATTCGGGAACTGAACCCCCGCAGCCCAGAGCGGCGTCCCTACATCATTAAGAAGAACCATACCACCTGCAGAATGCGACCCTCGTCGAACAGCTCCGTCCCAGCGACACACAGGTCCCCCTGACTCGATCACTATCCCCGTATGGCGATCAGACAGATGAGAAGAGGGAGGCTGAGGGTCCCTCGGTAGGCCAAGTCATTCCCCCACTTGTTGGTTATACTGCCTCAGTAAAGCGGGAATGCTGAATTGTTTTCCCTCGAAGACCACCCAGTTCCGGGATCTCCAAATTCGCCACAGGATAGCAATCACCGCCATGAACTGCGAAGGATGATGCAAGATAGCCAACAAATTCTTAAGGAAGAGGGGGAACGTATGAAGGGGCAATCCCTCGCCAAGAGCATCCAACCCCGCCTGCGACCACAGAGCCCTAGCCACCGGGCAATCCAGGAACAAATGCTCCATTGTCTCCTTTGAAGCCCAGCAGACAGGACAACGGGGTAAGACTTCCACATCCTTTTCAATAAGCGCCTCAGTCGTTGGTAAAATTCTGGTTAAGATTTTCCAGACAAACACCTTCAACTTCGGAGGAATATTAGCTTCCCAAACCCGGATCCAACTCCGCTTGTCCATCCAACTAACCTGCGCCCGCCATCTCCCACTCTGCTGGTCCAGACATACCGCCAAATGATAAGCCGATTTGACAGTAAAAATTCCATCATCAGTGCCATGCCAGATTAACCGATCCTCTACACTCTGCCGTGGCAGGGGTACAGCCTTAATCGCCTGGCAAGTCTGAGGGTCAAACCACTGACTCAGCTTATCATCGCACCAACGCCCTTCCCCAGGACAGAGGACCGCCGAGACTGTCAAATCCCCATCATCCGGCAAAACCCGAGGATTATACACAGGATAAGAAGGAGGATGAGTCGGGATCCAGCGAGAATTAAGCAAGGGAGCCGTCTGCCAATTCCCAATCTGCCACCTCAACCCCTTGGTCAACAACTGTCGACCAAAGAGAATACTCTGCCATCCCCAGGATGGACGGGATCGCGCCGTAGCCGAAAGGAAGGAACCCTGCGGGAAATACTTTCCTTTATACACCTGGGCTAAGAGGGACTGGGGATCATTCAGAATACGCCAGCCAATCTTAGCCAACAATGCTTGATTAAATTGTTCGAACCGGCGGAAACCCATCCCCCCCTCATGCTTACTTCTACATAAATTTCTCCAGGAGACCCACCGAATCTTGGAGCGACCATCCTCAATCCCCCACCAGAATCTGGCCACATGCTTGTCCAGGAGGCGGCAAAGCGCTAACGGCAGGCGCAAGCAGGACATCACATGGAGCGATAAAGCTAAGGCAACGGATGAGGTTGACGTCTGAGTTATTTGAGCTGAAATAATTAATTTTTTTGGCAAATTAAAATGAAATATAATATTTTGTACATGATGTAATTGAAATAACTCATTATAGATTAGTTGAAATATATACTCATCCTCTAGTTATTTAAAATAACTCACCTCTTAATCTCTATTTCACTCCATCCTTTTTTAAGTGCTGAAATAACACGATTTTTGGATGTTTTATCCAAACAAAATAACTGACCAAATTACCACATTTCAAACTGAAATACCACATGAATTGTCACATAGCCAAATAATGCAATAGTTTGATTCGAAATACCACAGAACCAAAATGATACATCCAAACGACCCGTTAAATAGTCCAAATATAATATTTGGGGTCATAAAAAAGTGAGTATCAAATTCATTGAGTTCACCTATTTGGAACTTCTTAGACGCCAAATTTTTAATTTAGGTATCGTTTGCTTAATGGATTTTAGAATGAGGGTTTTGTCTTAGGTGATGGATTTAAAAACTCAAGGTTTATCAAGGATTTGGAGCATTATGGATTTAAAACAATACTTTGTTTGTTGAGTTGTTTTGGTCATGGATTTAAGGGTTTGTGATTTATAACTTAAGAAACTAATTTATCTTATTACCCTTTTATATTATACTAATTAGTTAGAATGCGCTTCGTAGCGGAATGTTTACAGAAATATATCATTCATTTTAAGACTTACTTCAATTAACATAGTATAATATATTATTAATGATAATATACATATGTTTGTTTAACTAAATTAGTAGATGTTTAGGGGAGTGATGCAAGATAAGATGCCGAGATTGAACTTGCATCATCAATATGGCACTCCATATCACAATTCTTTAAAATTAGATACTATGTTATGAAATTATATAAATTCTTACAATGTAACGTCTAAATAAAATTCTATGTTGCATGATTACGTGATTGTCCAGCGATACTCATACAACCTTGATGCTTTCTATTACGAGGAGGAAGAGGTGCTCCATATTTGCCGGGAAACAAAATCGACAATAGAAAAATATAATAGAAGGAGGACAAACTTGGAATAATAAATATTAATAGGGATATAGGTGTCATTTTATAACTTGGTTTTTCAACCTATAACCTAATCCCAAGTTATCATGTGGGGTTTGTAAATCCGTGGGGCCCACGCCCCACGGATGGGGAGCCAAAATAAAACTTAAATTCTCGGCCCCCACAGATTTGTCTCCAATTTTTTTGGCCAAGCAAACAAAGGATTGATACCAAATCCTTGATGGTTTTATTTTTTATATCAAATTCTTGATACAAATCCATGAAGCAAACGACCCCTTAAGGGCTCTACAAATATGAAAATTTCACATAATTTGGTGAAATTCAAGGAGGACGATCAAATGCTTCAAGCTAAATACACCAATCATTCATAAAATCTAATATCGAAATAATAATTTTCTCACATCTCAAATAAAACAAATCCATAAGCTATCTTTCATTTTATGAATCCAAGAATTTCACAAAAAATTTATTTTTCAAATCATTGATAAAAAAATCGAATTAATTGCAAGGTTGGTCACTGAGATTACTAAAAACGTTCATGTTTGGTCACTAAAAATATTTAATTTCGTTCGTGGTCACTGTAATCAATCAAACAGTTCAAGTTTGGTCACTCTCCGTTACCTTTCGTTAGCCTCCGTTAACACTGTAAATTTTTTTACTAACGTGGGCTAACAAAAGTGCCTAATCAGCTAATTTTAACAAAAAAAAGAATTAAAACTCAACCTGCCACGTCATATAAAACTAGCCACATAAAATACCCAACCCAACCCAACCCAACTTCCACTAGTTGACCCAACTGGAAAAAAAAATTCCCTACCTTCCAAATCCCAAACTGGATCTCAACGCCAGCCAACGGCGGGAGATTCCCGACTAAACATCACTGATTCAGCACCGGCCCTTGCCGGAGAAGATGGCCCCGATTTCTATGACGAGGTTATCAAGAAGGCATTGACCTCTAACCGTCCTCCGTTCTTTGAGTCGTCGATGCGAACGCCTTCTCTCCAATGGTGGCTTCTTCTTCCTCACCTCGAACCACCACTGGACCATCTTAAAATCGAGATCTCGAGTCGACCCCAAATGCGGCCACGACTTTGAACGAAATTCACGAACGATTTTCTGCCCTCTTTGGCTTCTTCCCCTTCACCCTCCTCGTCTTCTTCGTCAATCAAACATCTTCATTAGTCAGCGGGCAGATGCGGCGACGGCAGTAGAGGAACGACTTGCCGATGGTGAATAAAAGGATGAGGGTACATGGGTGCGTGACGACTTTGGTTGGAGATTGGGTGGATAAGAGATTGAGGTTTTGAGTAGGAAATTGAGGCGGGTAGTTTATTAGAGAGAAGTGAAGCTGAAAGAAGAAACAACCCTAGAGCTTATTAGAGAGAGATCTGATCTATGCCTTGGCGAATTCTTCTTTTGACTGAGTTTATCATTAATTGGTAGGTTTATTGATGTGGGTTTGACGGGTTTGGGTGGTTTAATCATGGGTGGACCTAGGTGAGGACAAGGTGTGTCGTCCGACACACTTTTCGCAAAAATTTTGTGGGAGACCTATATTTTTTCTGTACAAAATCTTTGAATTTGGGTCGTCCCACACACCTTCGATAATTGTTAGCGACACACCTTTATTATACAATAAGAAAATTTTGTTATAAAGTAAATTCTATATTATTCATTTTAATAGTGATTCATAATAATAAATTTAAACATCTTTTAGTTTGTTTAAGGAAGACAAGAGCTTTGATAGATTACAAAGAATCACTAAGCTAGTTAAAGGAATGGTGAAAAGAGCAAACGATAATATTATCCTTTAATTTACTTGCTTATGATGTTAGTGTCGACTTTATCTATGTGAACTGCAAGCTACGAAATAGCCTTTTCAGCTATGATTTAATCAAGAGCATTCTTTGGAATTGGCTGAGTGACTAATTCATGAATGATTGTTTAGTTGTGTATATCCAAAAATGAATTATAAGCAGTGAATAAATTTTACAAACCTTTAATGATATAAAAACTCGTCGCAATTCATGGTAAAATTAATGTCATTGCAAACTTTATGAATTAAATTTTATAATTTCTTTATTTTATATTATTTTATAGGCGACACACCTACTCCG